ACAGCTTTTCCTCTCCAGTTTCAACCTTGAATTAGTCCTTTTCATTTCTTTCTGCATCGCTTGCATTCAGCGACTTGGAGAAGTAAAAAGAAACCATGAACCAAGAAACTCCAGCTGCCGCAACCATCACCAATGCTCTGGTAAGTGACAACCCGACGATTAATCAAGAAAACTCTAACTGTAGCCAGACATTTTTCCAAAAGCATATGCCTAGGATTCTGGTCATAGTCCCACCGATTTCCAAGGAAGCACCCAAATGTTGCGGTGTGATTGTTGGCGATTTTGCTTCTCAAGACTTAGAGCAACCTTCCACGGGGGTAATGATACGATGGAGATGCAGATGGATGCATTATTTGTGGCTTTTATCGTTCTTGAATGAATAAAGTTCATGGCAGTCGCATAATTGCATAATGGAAATGACATAATTCTGCAGAAAGAAAAATAAACGAATCAGATTTCGTCATCTTTATTTTACATTATGGGACGTAAAATTTAGATGATTAGAGAAAGGTTAACGTTTTCGATATAACCAATTTGGTCACTGTTTTCTTCATTGCTTACAATCTAAGTCATTTTTGTCAATTTCAGGTTTTAAAAAGAATAATGCTTGCATTTTCTTTTTTGGATGAAGTTGTTTTATCACTTGCAAATAACGTATCTTCACAAAAAAAAAAAAAAAAAAATTCATGATCACGATCATTTGTTTATTTGATGCATTTGAAAGATTAAAGAATTCCATTTCGAATGAATTTTTACAATGATGATCTTCAAAAGAAAATTACGAAATTGAACGGTTATGATTATAAAATTTCTATAGTGAAGATACGCTATTTGCAATTATGAGAGAATGAGCTCATCTCCAAAGGAGAAATGCAAGTATTATTCTTTAAAAAAAAAATACTTCCAAAAGGATTTTAAGAATGTTTTTTTTTTTTTTTTTTTTGTTTCTCTAGTTGATAAGAAACACATAGTAATTGTTTGGACCAGATTTTATATTTTTGACCCGATTTTATATTTTTGACCCAAGCAATCGAAGCCCTCGGATGATTATGAAAATTAAGAGATTTTTCTTAGCATTACTATTGATTTTAATCATAGTAATTATCTTGAAAATATCCTCAAAGCTTACAAAGTTTAGAGTTATGCATGGGATTCTTTTGCAGATAATCAAGGGTTTTATCGGATTGTGGAGAAATTAAAGGAGATTGCATAGTTGGCTGCTTGCCAACCCCTTACAATCAACACAACAGTAAAGAGAGTTATGTGAGGGCTTGCCGTGTAGCCTTAAGATTCTATCCTAATCAAAATGGTATCTAGTCAGTTGCATGGATTCCATATTTGAATGGGTTTGCATGCAGAACCACGTGGAATAATGGTACAAGGATGCAACTTTGGATGATTAGCATATGGATATGCCATTTTATCTGTTTGAAACATTAAGAATTTAAGATGGTGATGTACCGTGAAGACTAAAAGGTCCAATGCATCGCAATGATTAACATTACGATATCACCAAAAGTTAGAGGATAATGAGTGGTGGTTCATGATTATTATTTCACAAGGTATGGTTCACGAAGGACTCTGCAATGAGGATAGCCCCTTCAAATCAACACACAAATTGCCCTGCGCAAAGCTTCTCAACAACCCTGAGATTTTTTTCCTCTCCCCTTTTCTTCTCGCCAACACATCTTCCGTTTGGATAGACATCAATGTGAAGGCAACCGGTGATATCTTCAGTTTGGATAGACAAAATTTGAGCCGTATAATCAGTCGACCGATGAACACCTTCAGTTTGGATAGATAGCACTGCCTTGAGACCGACTGGTTATTTATCCAAGTCACGGTCAATAAGGATTTACGAGTCTTTGTTAGTAGAGGTCATTTCATCAACCTTCTCGGCGAAGTAAAGTGTTACCAAGTTACTACATTCGGCACATTGAAAGCCGAATTTGAAATTGAACTTCGCAGAACTAGCAGCCTTGTCTTCAGGCTCTAGAACCCGAAGGCCGAGACGTGTTCCTTCCTTGGTTTCAGTCGCAAGATCAAGAAGTCAGCATCGCGCCCAACGCCACATCAACATATTTTACTCCCTCGCCGAACTCGACCGAAGAGTTGGCACGTCCCGCACACAACCGAATGACGTAGTTAGCTTATTAATTACTCGGCATATGCGCCACGTAGGCTTGGCAGTTTTTAGGGTTAACAGTAATATACGGAACATCTATAGTATGTGAAAAATAAATATTCAATGGTGTGAGAATTCCGAACCGAAAAAAAAATATATATATATATATATATATTTATTTATTTTGGTTTTATTTTTATTGAATGTTGAATTTAAGTAGTTTGATAATAAACTATGTTAGAAATAGAAGTATGAAATTAAGTAGTTTGAAACATTGGAGCGTCAATTGGACTTTGATGAATAAATTGGTATTTCAATTGATATGAGATAAAAAACTTAAATTTCAATTGATATGAAATTGGGCAATAAAATTTCAGGCTCATAGCCCAAATTTTGGCCCACACCCCAAAAATCTCAATTTTCAACCCAAAAACCTGAAATCCAAAATTCAGTCCCGATCCATCCTGAAATATCGTAAACATATCGAAATTCCAAAAATTGAGAATATCGGAATTTCGGTTCAAGATTGGTTTTCAATTTGAAATTTAGAATCTCATTTTCAATTTGAAATCCCACACCGAACCATCCCTACACAAACTTACTAACTCTAACTCAAAGTTTTTTAGAAGTCTTGTTATAATATTTAAGTTCTGTATGAATGAAAAATAAGAGTTAAGTGTTATAGTTGAATTCAAATTAATGAGTTGTGTCTGGTCGTTAGAACATTAGGCAACAGTCACAATGTTTCAAAAGTGGTGGCTTGAGTTCTATATAAACTCAAACATCCTACATGTCTAAATAATCGAAGAAAAGAGTTTTCTTCAATGTCTTTTATTCTTTGTTAGTCAAACTCTAAGTTGTGTCTTGAGAGTACGAAATATATGAAATTCGCTAGAGTCTGAAGATTGAAGTGTTTTGACTTCGGATTATAGATCGTTGAATCCTAGGAGATAGACGCCTACCGAACTACAAACACAAGAGTAGAGGTGAAATTCTGTCTTTAGGACATTGCATTTATGCAAGCCTTAATCTCCAAGTTTATCAGTTTTTCAAACTTTCTCTCTAGTTGTTTATGTTAATCTCATATATAATTGATATTGTGAATTTCTTTATGATTATTATGATTGGAATTATATTATTATTTTTCATATTTTATAATATTGCTCAAACAAGTCTTACTTGTGTTTTGTCTCCGTCTGTGTGTGATCCTTCAAATATATCTCTGATCGGAGCAGTCTGCCCCCACCACTCTCATAATTCGCATTTGCTTCGGAACTCCTCCCTCTCTCCCTCTCTCGTTCAGCAAAGCCATTGCTCGAAACTGACACACAAATAAAGACAGTGATCGAGGGAGGAGGGAGGAGGGAGACATTGATACTTTCATTGAGGATAGAGAAAAAACTTCTCCACCTACTCCATAACCCCACCATGTTTGATGTCCAAGTGCTGCAACTTTAACACTTCACCATTTCACGCCATTTCTCTTTCTGGGTTTCACGAATGTCAGCTCCCGAGGCAACCCACCACCGCCGTTCGGCCACCGGAGGCAGCGGCACGTCGGTCTCGGATGACTCCGACGACAACCAGTCCTGGCGCTCGATGTCTGACTCCGGCAATGTCCGGAGGAAGTCTTGTGAGTCAGATTGTTCAGTGGAGGAGGTGGATTTGGAGAGTGGGCTTTTGGAGGTGAAGAAGGTGGTGCATTTGAGTAAAGTTGAGAGAAATTGCAGGATTTGCCACCTGGGTTTGGAGGGAGGTAGTGGGACCGACCCTGCCTCTGGGGTCCCGATTGACCTGGGGTGTTCTTGCAAGGGGGATTAGCGTGCTGCTCATAAGCAATGCGCTGAGACTTGGTCCAAGATCAAGGGAGACACGTGAGTACAAAATTTTTCTGAGTTTAATATTCATTATTTTCTTTGGTTTTTGGTGTTTCTGCTTGAAATTATGAACACCCATTTGCTGGATTGTGAATGTTTGTTCTGCTTGAGTGTTTAATGATGGTCCGAAAACTTTAGGATTATATTTTGTTCTGTTTCTGCATTGAAGTGCAAGCACATGGATGTAATTGGTTCCCGGAGTCAGCTCTCTCACTTTTGATGTGGTTTACTTCAAACTATGAACTTACTATGGGCATGTTACAACAGATACCATCTTGGTGGTGTTTAGGTTCCTGCTTCCGAGAGTTCAGCTTATTCGAATGATTACTTGCTAATTAGCTTCTTTCTTTTCATGTAATTGTCACGATTGTTCTTATCATTTTGCTTCTTACTGGAATGCCGAATTAGGCAGATCACGTATGTTGTAGAATGCGTATGCTCATATGAAATACGAGAAAATCAAGTAAAAGAACAATCTTGTAGTCACCACAATTACAATCCATCTGAACTCAAAGATATCCATCGTTCTAGGTTCATAGTTTTTATAGTCACACTTTCTGTGGCATTTACATTAGTGGAAAGTGCGAGGTCCAATGCAAGCTAAAGGAAGTGTGTTTGTATGCAAGAATTGAGCTCCTATGTCGAAAAGTAGATATCTTGTGTGCCATGTATCTTTTCTGTATGCTTCTAATAAAGATGTAAATGTTTAAATTATGCATATGGATTAGTAAATGATGATGAGCATTTGCATTCTTTGGTTCCGTCACAAGTTTATTTCGTTTATACATTTGGGAGATTTTCTATACTCCAAGGATGATAATTTGGTAAAGTTCTTAGGACCTTGCACGCTATACCCTCTTCAAAGGAAATATCCAAACTTAGGCTACAGGAAATATAATCTAGATAAGCTGCATCACATGATAATACAATGACATACATACATCATAGATGGATTGGTGAAGACTCGCTGGGTTGGTAACCAGGATGAGGAGAAGATATGCAAGAACAGCAAGCTAGTTCAAATTTCAACTCATCATGGTAAGCAAATGGAACGACATCTTGACTACATGACTTTTTTTCCAGAAACAGAAATAGAAGATTGATGGCTTTGACATCACTTATAGTGATTGTATAGCATTCTCTTTTATATTTTTTATATTTGTATGCTGTTGGTTACACGTCATTATGTTTGTTCAAAATCCTCATGGTACGTTTCTTCATTATGTTGCGTTATGGTTGCAAATACCAGTCTTGTCTGACTAAGCGTCATTATGTTCGATTTTTCCTTCTGCATAAGTGTCTTAGCCAACAATTCCTGTCTTTGCTTTTTCCTTCTGTCTAAGCGTGTTAGCTAACAATTTACCAAAGTACCAGCACAGTTCTTGTGGGCAGCAGCCAAATCATCCTTGCAAGAACAACCCAATTCAATCGGAGCCCCGGATTCGTGGCTGTTACTCTCCAAAGCCTGATATTCATAAAACCTGTGTCAGCTTTAAAAAATCTAACTATTTTATGAATCACCAGCTACCATTCTTTAGAATCAGTTTCCTGGGAACAAAGATCATTCGAATGTCACTATTATTAAACCTATTAGCAAGAACAAAGATTCTTAAACTTCCTATTTCCATATATGAATTTAAGGAGGAGAGAAAAACAGAGTCATGCATTAATGAACTAAATGGAAACTAAACAGAGTATTGTATTCAACTTTCACAATACGAAAAAAAATAAAAATTTGTTTCCACAAAAGCCCCAAAGAGAAGCTGAAATTGCTCACCTTGAGTTACAAAACCGCAAAAAAGGAAAAACCAGGGTCCCCTGACACCGAAAACAAAACCAAAGTAAAAACCCATATGCAGCCGAATTAAACACATACATGCAGTTGAATTAAAAACCCACACGCAGGATCCGATGGCACCAACAAAACCCTCAAAATCGCAAAAAAATAAAAATAAATTTGAACAGAAAACCCATCTGCATATCCAAAATCACAGAACAGAAATTGAAACGCCTAAATTGAGAAAGCCATAAAAACTCACCAGGAAACGCTAGCTTTTCTAGGTAAAAAATTTCTCGGAATCCAACTGAAGAACCGAAGAAACTTCTACAGGTTAGGTGGTTTTTCAGCAAGAAAGTGCGGTTGGTAATTTGTGAGACAAAGATCGCAGGGACGGAGAAGGAGAGAAGGCAGCTTTGGAAAGCGAAAGGAATCGAGGTTCAAGAGCGACAGAAGCAGGGAATTGTGAGGGAAAAAAGTGGAACGGAGGGAAAAGTCGAGTAGAAAGGTTGTGCAGAGCGATGAGCGACGCGTGGACAAACGCATAATGGAGAAGAATCGGAGGGCATTTATGCCATTGAAAACGACAGAAGCTGAGAAGTGATCGACTGGTGGAGACGAAGGGCAAAGTCGTCTTTTAACTGTTAAAAAAAAGGAAAAAAAGTAAAAAAAGGCAGATAACAAAGGAATTGGAGGGCATTTTGGCCCGTTTAGACCATCACCAATGTTGAGCTAAAAGACAAATATTTTAGCCCGGAAAATTTAGCTTTTAGCCCAAAAACAACTTTTCTGCTCCAACCGTTCTAATTTAAAATTTTAGCCCGGGATTATTAAAGAATGAACTTAGGCTATTTTTTTTGTTAAATTAAATTTAAAAAAATAAATAAATATGTAGACTATCGTAAATTAATTTTATGAACATTTTAATCTAAAAAAATTTAAATTCCAATAAATATTGGGTGGAGTTCACTCCGATTTCTGGGCTAAATTTTGGGGGGAATTTGGCCTTGGTTTAGCATTTAGCATTTAGCCCAAATTTTCTCCTTGGGTTGGAGTGGGTTTGGGGGGAAATTTCGGGGGGTAATTTGGCTTTTAGCCCACCATTGGAGTTGGTCTTACAGTTAATGAACAGTAATTTTGTATTGAGTTTTAGTATATGTATAATTTCATGAGATGTTAAATGTTATTGATATTTAGTTGATATTGTTAATTTAATGTAAATATTATTATTTATCAATAAGTCCAAATATTACATACCAAACGGCCTACTTATAACTTGCACGGTATCTTTAGTTTTAATCGTCCGATTAAATCGAATGGCCCATACAACCCCCACACTTAAGTTTTTGGGTCCACCATTCATCATCATCAGTCAACTGTGTTGTCTAAGTAACTCATACAAACGTCAGATTATTCTCAAGCGTCCTAAGAAAGTTCTGATAATTCTCAAGCGTCCTAGGAAGTTCGAGAAATTCACACATACATTTCTAGTCTCATCCTTAAGTCTGTTTTAGAAAATTCTTTGGTTCCTTAAAAATACACAACCAAATCCGCTCTTCATGCAATTAGTCCAGCAAAAGCAATAATTCTGTAATAATTCTCAAATTTCTCAGCATCCAAACCAACCCTATCTGTTTTTCAGAATGTCGTTCGTCCCCAACTCCCAATGAGGAAGCAGCAGCGTCTTCGACCCATTCTCCCTCAATCTGTGGGACCCTTTCAAGGATTTCCAGTTCCTTTCCTCCTCATCACTCTTCGCATTTCCTGAATTTTCTCAGGAGAATTCGGCTTTTGTGAACATTAGGGTCGACTGGAAGGAGAGCCCCGAAGTCCACTTGTTCAAGACAGACGTTCCAGGCCTGAAAAAAGAGGAGGTGAAGATGTAGGCGGAAGACGATAGGGTGCTTCAGATCAGCGGAGAAAGGAACGTGGAGAAGGAGGACAAAAACAAGTGGCACATAGTGGAGAGAAGCAACGGCAAGTTCTTGAGGAGGTTTCAGCTTCCAAAGAATGCAATGGTCGATTAGATTAAGGCTGCCAGGGAGAATGGAGTTCTAAGTGTCACTATTCTAAAGGCGAAGGTGAAGAAGCTTGACGTCAAAGCCATTGAAATCTCTGGTTGAAATTCTGATTTTTTTTTTCTTAAGATTTTATCTATGTTATACGCCACATATAAATACGTGAAAAATACATATGTGTATTATTCGACAACTCTACTGAAAAGGTACTTTGAAAAATTCAAGCCAGTTCTAAATTTTTGAATAGTAATTAATTTAAAACTTTATCATTTTGATCTTTTTAATAATATGTTAAAAATACATATAAAAAGCATTTTTTGTACTATTAAAAATATATGTCAAAATTAGGTCCATTAAATGTAAAAAGTAAGTACATACATTAGAGTTTTTACTAACTTGACAAATAAATTCTTAAAAATATATATGGAATAATTTTGAACTGAATTAGCTTCAGAGATTGAGCTGGATTGTCTTGGTTTGAAGCAAGATAATAATAGTGAAGTGTTTGTGCATTGTTGGACTAGCCACAAACAAAATACCCTAAAATTTTGTAAGGCTCTTATGGCAACCCCTCTTGTTAACCCACTTATCGAACAAAAGTTGGACATATTTGTAAGGCTCTTATGGCAAAGCTTCACCAAGAACTTTGAATTTTATTGAAATTTCTTGATGACGTCAAATGACGAAAAGGATTGAGGCGTGACTAATCTTGACGTAATTTTTGGCAAAATTTTCTTGATAGTTTTGAGGTGAACATTGAGATGGTAATTTTTGGCGCGCATTCTCTAAATCAGGGGTTGGGTGTGGATTGATGGCGTTGAACTGATGATGATGAAGTTAAAAACGAGGGAAGAGGACATAATTCGTACGTAGTACAAGCTAAACCTTCACTTCTACATCGAATTGTGTAAGACCAGTTAAGGAGGTCTAAAGTCCATACAACCACCATGTCAATCCTCTCCCCCCCCCCCCCGCGGCAATCCCTAAACCCCATTCCTAGATTTTCCAAATTTTTTTCTAATTCTTCGTCTTCCTCAAATCTCCCTAAAATTCTCTCCGTTTTCCCTCTCAATCCGGAAAAAAAAAAAAAAAAAAAAAAAAAAAAAAAAAAAAAAACCCCTAAAAATTTCCTAGATCCGAAGATGAGTTTGCGTCTAAATTAGCTTCCCTTTTCGACTAGGTTGTGAGGAGGGATCGCGATCGAGAGCTCTCTCTGTGCTCATGCCTTTACTCTTAGGTGCAACCGCCTCCACCGCTACACCCAACTGGAAGACCCATGGAGAAAACCTGAAAAAACGAACCTCGCAGGAAGGAATCGACCTCATCAACGTGTGGTGGTTAACGAAGGATATTTGGACCTAAACTCGTTGCTATAACAGCTTGGTGGCAAGGACCATCGACGCCGTGCCATGTGTCAAGATTTAGAAATCATATATTTGGTTTCAAATTATTGGTTGTGCAAATTTCAACTTCGATAATTTGGAACTATTAAGGATTGAGAGGGGGAGATTTATGAACGGGGGCGATTGACATGGTTGTATGGGATGGGTGGTGGTGGAGAAAGAAGAAGATGGCGATGGAAGTCTTGGGTGGGAGAAGGGGGTGGGCCCCTCTTTGTTTTGTTTTAATTTAAGTTTTTGTTTAAATTGTTTTTTGTTAACAAATTATTTTTTTATGTCACGTCATCACTTAACGGTCAAACTAACGGTTTAATTAACGGATGTATAAAACTGTAACAAAATTATGTATGAGATTAAAATGTTTTAAAAATGTTGTATGAGATTGTAATTGCACCCAAACTTGAGAGGATAAAATGTATTTTATCCTAGAATAATCAAATAGAACAATCCACAAAGGAGGTCGTTCTGGTCTAAGGAATGGGATCCCCGCCTTGCTTGTTCATGAGCTGGGACCAAGATTGAAGACTTGCTGAAACAAAGCTAAAGATCCCTTATGAAAGTGTACTTTCGTTCGTTCTTCGTTCCGTCCTTGACCCATGATCAATGACTTAATCCACCCAGAAGTAGAAAACCCAAATAACTTGGAAAACCCAAAAGAAATTACGAATCAAAGTACTCATAAATCGAGATTTGAAATCGTAGTTTTAGTATTGGGTTTTGGCTGTGCGGGCTTCCTCTCTTATGAAGTTCTGCGTTTCGTCTACCTAGCTGCCTTTTCTTCCTTCTTGGGTTCCTCCGTCATCGGAGGCTGCTGGTTATTGGGAAGGAGGGCAAGACAAAGAGCGCATCAATTCCTTGGTTGAGGAGTAGCTTGCGTAGGAACAGAGAACGGCGTGAACCCGTGATGGGGTTTTCGTTTTTGGGTTCAATTTTAAATGGGTTGTTGCTTTCGGAGTTTTCGTTTGATGACAGAGATGGGGTTTTTTGGGGAGAAACTTTTAATCCGTGAGTTTTTTAGTTAGGTTGTGTTGTGGGTCTTCACAAATTTCTAACAAAAGTAGCCTGACGATGAAAAGATCTAACCAAAGGAGGGGGAGAGAGCGGGAGGGGAGAGAGACAGAGAGAGCTCTGTGTAGAAGAGTGTTGAAACGGCAAGATCTGCAATTGGAAAAAAGGCGATGGCGGCAGATTCTATTGTGCTAGGTACTTAGGGTTTTTTTGAAGTCACGCGATATTTTCTTTTCAAACCAGGGCTTTTGTTTTATGAGAAAATTAAGGCCATATATATTTATATTTATATTAGGAGATAATGCATATTTTTTAGCATCCATGCCGTATATATTTAGCATGTTTATGCATACAGTTTTTGTTATAGTGTATAATGCATTCTGTTTTATTCAATTTTAAATGTTAGAAAATTTTAAGTTTTTGGGGTTCCGTTTAAATGGGTGGTTAACAACCATTGAACTGCTTAGGTTGATTTTCTGATGAGTTTTCTGCTTTTCTGGTAGAATGCCACAACTGAGCATTATCAAATTTATGATCTGACAAATGGTTTTAGGAGTAGTTGTGCTTATGCTCGGCGACCAAGTTTGGACTGCCACTTTTGTTTTTGGTTTTGTGAGGAAATAGATATAACGGTTGGAAAATCAATCTATTAGCATTTCCTCAATTGCTTTTATTTTGTGATTTTTAGGGGGTTTTGTCTGTATGCTCGGATGCTGTTTGATTTCAGTCTTTTTTGTAGTTTGATATCAATATTATTTGTAGTTTGATATAATATTTAGACAATCAAAATGTGTCGTTCAGTCAAATAGAGCAAAAGATGCTGACAAAGGCTCATTTCTTACTTAGGGTGAAAAGGTAGAGTAAAATATAGTTAGCCGGTGAAAGAGAGAATCAAAGAGTGGGGAGGAACTATTTTTCGATTCAAACGTGTAATCCTAGCTTAGGAGTGACAGTAATCTTCTTTGTACTGTTCTAATTTTATGAGATGTCCATGAAGGAGATTTCATGGTGGGTGGCTCGCAGCAAATTTAAGAGAACATTGATGCTCAAACGATGAAGATCTTGGTTGTCAAATTGGGCTCTGATTTGCTAGGTAGTTCAGGTTTTTATTTTTTTTATTTTTTTTTTAATTTTGTCAACTAGGGAGTTCAGGTTTCAATTTGAGCTTTTTGAGGGAGATAGCTTTTTACTTTTCTTATAAAAAGCTTTGACCTAGAATTGGTGATTGATTAATTACGATCCCTAACGAAATCCAAAAAAGCAGTGGTAGTGGTAATTCAAAGATATCGTGACCAATGTTCACATTTTTGGTAGTGGTAATTCAATCCAAAACTTCATAATTTTAAGATACAATCTAATTGTAGTATGAAAAAAAATTCCAATTGTGGTATTTTAGATGTTGGAATCGGAACATTCAGTTCACTAAAACGACATCGTTATATAAGAAAAAGACAAGGATTGAACTTCTTCTTTGCGATGGTGGCTCCACAAGTCAAGCTGATATCTGGCTCTGCCACAGTTGGCTCTACAAATCATGAATGCCATATTGCTAAATCCATCAAACAAATTCTGAACGCAAACTCACATATGACCTATCATCTAATATTTTCTCGTAGTGCGCATCAATACAAACTTGTGATCGCAAACATAACAAAATTTAGAATTAAAATAAAGATTCCACGGAACTACAAAGTTTAAGTATAGTATGATAATTTTGTATTACTATGACTGATTACCTTTTGCCGTCCGTTCACCTTTATTTTTCATTTCTATTTTAAATTTCTTTATTTCTTTTGCTTTTCTTTTTGTCTCTCCTCCCTCCTGCATCCTCTCACCCTCTTCTCTTAGCGAGCCGACGACTGCCGACGCAACAGCTTTGTCGTCCACGGGTCACCAAAGGCTGTCAAATTACACATCCAGAATGCTCTTGCCGTCCTTTATCCAATCCCCAAGTTAGTTTCTATAAATTCGTAGGCGATTTTCCTCAATTTCTAATTTAAGAACGGTGACCCAGGGTTTTCTGGCCAACTTCCGGCCAATATCGCAGGAATTGGACCTCGACCCAAGAGGTAGAAATGATCCTCTTCTCGTGGTCTGTTCTCCAATGTAAGTTCTTTTTCCAAATTTTCAACTTTCAGTTTTGGGATTGATTCTTGATTTCGAATTTTATTCGGTTTTCTGTATGAATGTCGGAGATGAGACTTATGGTAATTGTTGTATCTGTGAAGTTTATGAAACCCCTAACGATTACGTTCCCGGTTGATAGTTGAAGCATGTCTATAACACGGTGTGGGATTGAACTCTGTAGAACCTTGTATTATTGTGAATAGGCAATGAATGAACTCTTTTGCATAGGAATCATAAAACTTATGGAAAGAATGTGAAAATGTGGTACAAAATTAGAAAATGGGGGCCAAAATCATGTTATGATGAAGGCAATTGCTTAGCCTGATTCCTTGTTTATTCATGTTGTATTCAGCAGCTTACTTTGGTTCTGAGTTGCCTGCTGTCCAGTAGATGTTTAAGACTTAATGTGGAGGAAATTCTCTCTTGAAGTTGCTTGAACTTACCTATTTGGTAGACAAGGCTACTCAAGGGAAAGCTAGCCTGAGGTGTGAGTGGACATTTATTTAAGAAATGTTTTTTCTTTATCAAATATTAAGCATGCCTAGATAAATATGATTTCCGTTACGTTTAGGGGAAAACCAGATTTTATGAATTAATATCAGACCTTATAGTGAATGATCATATTATTTAGCTTACATGTGTATGATCAATATTACGTGTGTCATGCTACAAACATGTCATTCATCTTAAATGTGTATGGTATTACAGAACTTTTAGCATTATAAATTGAAATGCAAATATTGGTAGCTAGAGACAACTTTTCCAAATTATCATAACAAATAAGCAAACACCAATTTAGAAACAAACAGTAATAATCACAGTCGAAATTTATAATACATAAAATAAGATTGAATGATAAACCATTATCCAATTGCAACCGTTAGATTTTACTCTAGTTCTCCTTCCTCCCGAGTCCACTCCTAATTCCAAAATCAGTCATTCTCACTCCACGCCGTTCATCCCTCGTATCCAACTTTCAGTCATCTTCTCCTTCGTCATCACGACCAACGCAACGGCACCACCCATCCTCCTTGACGACATCCCACTGGCTCGATTCTTTCCTCTTCAACAACATCACTGTTGGCTCAATTCTCTCATTTTTAACAACCTTCACTTATGTTTCTTGCCCATTCGCAACCCTTATAATCCATACCTTCCTTCCACCCAAAATCTAATTCTTTAATCTCACATCGCCGTCGCAAATCCACCGCCCACCTGCCCTCCGTGAGCACTCCATCACTCTCAAGGGTAAAGCTTTCAAATTTTCTTCCGATTTGCGGGTTTCAATTCGAATTTTTGACTCCAGATGTTGTAAAGCACATGTGTGTTCTCTGGATTCACACAGCTATGCAAGGGCTTGTCGGTGGTGTTCATTGGAGGCCACATTGTAGTTCAACTTCTCCCTCATGCTTGTCGGTGGTATTTTTCTCTCGGTTTGGGCACCTTCACTGTCCAATTTTTGGTTTGTTGACTTATGAATTGAAAATTTACTAAAATGTATTGCAAAATATTGCATAAATATGTGTTTATAGTAATGGGTTTTATGAAAAATATGTGAAATTTAGTGTTTCGAACCGTTTGGTTTTGTGGGGTTGATCTGAAAGTCAGCTCTGGTGTTTCGCCTTTCTTGTGTGGAATTGGGAGTTTGTAGCATAGGTGATAATGTTGACATTTTGTTTGTTAAATGTTTGTATTACAAAGGATGGAGTATATGGTTGGTATTGGATTACAGACTTCGTTTTCACTTAGGTTTTGTATTTTGCTGGGATTTGAGTTTCTCTGGGAAAAGACTCGAACTTAATGAATTTCTTTGTGTTTTTTGTTAATCTTAATCAGATCTCCTCGGATTCTTTCCCTACCGCTTCACCCTCCTTGCCTTCATCCTGTTCGTCTCCGTCCTTTACGGCTAGAACTTTCCAGATTTGTTTTTCATCAAAGGTTTTCTTTGCTACATTTCAGAGGAAATTTCAACCAAAAAAAAAATAAATAAATAAGAGAAAAAAAAAAAAGTAATTGGACCCGTGGGCCCGCCCGAATCGGCTGGTTTAAAATGGGCTGAGTTAGGTCCAGTTCCAAAACTCATAATTGCTTTACCCGCCCTACCCTGTTAGATTTTTAAACGGGTTTGGTCCGGTCCATCCAAATTTGGGTCCGGCCCAGCCCGTACCCACCCCTATGTCAGTTTACCTTTATTTTTCATTTCTATCTCAAATTATTTTATTTATTTTCTTTTTCATTTTGTTTCTTTTTATTTAGGTGTGCATTAAAAGTGGAAAAAAAAAATTAATAGTATTTCTCTTTATTTGTAACTGATAAGTAAGAAATCTTTTGTTCGATTATCATGAAATGTAAATTTAAACTATATTAATTATAGTCATTATTATCATCAAAACGTGTTCTATCCTATCTCACTGTGACATCCCACATCGCCCAGGGGAGTGATCCTTATATGTATTCCCATCCATACCTAGCACGAGACCTTTTGGGAGCTCACTGGCTTCGGGTTCTGTAGGAACTCCGAAGTTAAGCGAGTAGCGCGCGAGAGCATTCCCAGGATGGGTGATCCATCGGGAAGTTCTTGTGTGAGTTCCCAAAAACAAAACCGTGAGAGCGTGGTCGGGACCCAAAGCGGACAATATTGTGCTACGGTGGTGGAGCGGGCCCGGGAAGTGGTCCGCCCCGGGCCGGGATGTGACAATTTGGTATCAGAGCCTAACCCTGGTCGCGTGTGTGCTGACGAGGACGTCGGGCCCCTAAGGGGGGTGAATTGTGACATTTCACATCGCCCAGGGGAGTGATCCTTATATGTATTCTCATCCATACCTAGCACGAGGCCTTTTGGGAGCTCACTGGCTTCGGGTTCCATAGGAACTCCGAAGTTAAGCGAGTAGTGCGCGAGAGCATTCCCAGGATGGGTGACCCATCGGGAAGTTCTTGTGTGAGTTCCCAAAAACAAAACCGTGAGGGCGTGGTCGGGGCCCAAAGCGGACAATATTGTGTTACGGTGGTGGAGCGGGCCCGGACAGTGGTCCGTCCCGGGTCGGGATGTGACACTCACGCACCAAACACACTTTTGATGATACATAATATCGTTTTTTTCCATAAAAAAAATAAAAATTGTGGAAAAGGATTAAGATGTAATAAGTGGGAGAAACCCATTTTCTCTCCTCCCCTCGTATCCTCTCTCCTTCTCTTTTGCGCTGCAACAGGAGCCCCATTAAACAGCAAGCCGACGACTGCCGAGTGCCAAGTGGACGCAACAGCTCTGTCGTCTACGGGTCACCAAAGGCTCTCAAACTACACATCCAGAATGCTCTTGCCGTCCTTTATCCAATCCCCAAGTTAGTTTCTATAAATTCGTAGGCGATTTTCCTCAACTTCAAATTTAAGAAACGGTGACCCAGGGTTTACCGGCCAACTTCCGGCCAATATCGCCGGAATTTGACCTCGACCCAAGAGGTAGAATGATCCTCCTCTCGTGGGCTGTTCTCCAATGTAAGTTCTTTTTCCAAATTTTCAACTTTCAGTTTTGGGATTGATTCTTAATTTCGAATTTTATTCGATTTTCTGTATGGATGTCGGAGATGAGACTTATCGTAATTATTGTATCTGTGAAGTTGTTGAAATCCCTAACGATTACGTTCCCGGTTGATAGTTGAAGCATGTCTATAGCATGATATGGGATTGAACCTGTAGAACCTTGTATTATTGTGAATAGGCAATGAATGAACTCTTTTGCATAGGAATTATAAAACTCAGGGAAAGAATGTGAAACTGTGGCACGAAATTAGAAAATGGGGCCAAAATCATGTTATGATGAAGGCAATAGCTTAGCTGGATTCCTTGTTTATTGTAGTTGTATTCAGCAGCTTACTTTGGTTTTGAATTGCCTGCTGTCCAGTAGATGTTTAAGACTTAATGTGGAGGAAATTCTCTCTTGAAGTTGCTTGAACTTACCTATTTGGTAGACAAGGCTACTCAAGGGAGAGCTAGCCTGAGGTGTGAGTGGACATTTATTTAAGAAATGTTTTTCTTTATCAAATATTAAGCATGCCTAGATAAATATGATTTCCGTTATGTTTAGGGGAAAACCAGATTTTACGAATTAATATCAGACCTTATAGTGAATGATCATATTATTCAGCTTACATTAGTTGCGGCTAGCTAGTGTATCATAATATTATTTAGCTTACATGTGTATGATCAATATTACATGTGTCATTCTACATACATGTCATTCATCTTACACGTGTATGGTATTACAGAACTTTTAGCATTATAAATTGAAATGCAAATATTGGTAGCTAGAGACAACGTTTCCAAATTATCATAACAAATAAGCAAACACTAATTTAGAAACAAACATTGATAATCACAACGTAAATAAGCAACATAAATAGTATTTTTGGAATGAAATTCTGGTGCAACAAATGACCTTTTATTGGCTTGTACATATGATATAGTAAACGAATTGCTGAAACCACAACGTTCTGTAAACTCTTGTCCTGCATGCATTGGAGAATAATAGAATTCACTGAAATTGGAATAAGTTGAAATGGTAATGCTTAGTGTATATGTGTTTCAGAAAATAGCGGTTTAAGGACTAAATTAATTTTCAAGTCACTTAGCACTACCGTTATGTTTATTGTATATGTGTTTCTCAAAAAGGTTATGCTTGTTGTAGATCAGGTGAGACATGCTAACTGAAAAGGGTTATTCCAATATTATTGTGGAATCTGATAAAGGTTTCTTGAGGCAGTTGCTGATCCGAAAAGCTTCTTCCATCTTAACTGCTATTGGGTGTAAGACTTTTATTGGGCTTACATCTATACAGGAGTCCTAATTGATTAAGGATAAAAGAAAGGAAGTAATATTTGATTATTCCGGATTACTTATGGTGAAGTATAGCAATAATTTTTGGGAATATCAATCCTATTAGTTCATGGATTTTAGAGGTGCTAAAGATTTGTATTAGGGTTTTCTTTATGGGCGAGAAACCTAATACTCTCACCTATAAATATAAGGCTTAGGTCCCACTTTTATACACATTATTCTAGCACAAAACACTACCCCATATAGGAGTGCATAAGGCGTGTAGAGAGAGATGAAGATCTTTGCTTGTTCGTTGCTGATCATGGTTCAATCTTGTTCATATCAATGGCTTCTCAAGGTTAGTACTTGCATATTATAGATCGACTTGCATTGGGTACCTCAAAAAAATCAATTAGGTAGCAGAATGTGGTTTGACGATCCTTATTGTTCAATTTTTTAAGTACTATCCATGTATGTATATATTCTATAAAACATGGTAGAATAATTTTTTGAGTACTATATAGATAATTTCATCAGTTTTTACTAAACCCAGAAGAAGTTGGAGATGGAAACATGCTAACCTTTGTGCTTGATCAATCAATTGTGTTAGTCATCTCCATCCTCCCCATAGAATTCGTAATACTCTCACCTAAAAGACAGATGTTTTCTTGAGATAGAGTTGAGTTTTAAAAAATAAAATTACTTAAATACACTTTAGTGTGAACATATGCACATTTATATGGTATTTGACTAAATTTTGAGAAATCTTTTGTCAAACTAAATATGAACTGTTGATTATGCTTTCCCTAAATTTGTAGTAAAAATTTTGGTGGTGTTTGCCATATTATGCTTGTAGCTCAAAACCAGAACGTATATGTTGGTTGAATAAATAGAAACTTAAGATTGAGCATATATAGCTCACTGACTGTAAATTATCAACCTAGCTATTCTTCAGTCCTTCGTAAAAACATTAAGGATCGAAAGAGTTGGAACAAACAACTTGAAGCATTACTGTTTAGGAGAAAATCTTTGTTGGTTTAGTGGTTGTATATTGATGATGCGGTCTTCCAGGTGGACACAAAAGTGATTGCAAATTAGAAACATTAATCTAAAGCATACCTTGTCCATTCCTGTCGAAATGCGGGGTTTACTTGCAATCGGGGATTATGCGTGTCAACAAGCTTAGAATCAAATGGCCTTAAGTCTTGCACATTAATAACCTTCAATAACTCCAAAGACGGCAACTTCAAAGTATAAGCTTCACCACAAAAATACTTGAGTTTTGGCAGATTTCCAAGCTCGATGGACTTCACTTTAGGTAATGTAATTATTTCCCCTGCTTCTTCTTCTGCCGCAACGATTTCTTCCATCTGCTCACACTTCCCAACTTTTATGTCCTCTACACTCGCAAGAAGTTTGACTATGGACGAAGAAAACAAGTATTTCAACTGGTTGCAACTATAGACCCGCAGCAATTTCAAGTTTCCGAAACTGCTTCCTGTGAACATTGGTTGTGAACTACCTGTCTCCCAAACACACATTAAACTTGGCAACCTAACTAACCCCAAGTACCTCAATTTTTTGAATGCTTCAACGGAGTGACTACTTTCTACATGCTCCGGTCCCTTGAGTTGGAAAATCACTTCCATTGAATTACAGCCAAGTACAATAAGATATTCGAGATTATCATCATCATTTGAGTCCTCCAGATTAGTTGGTGTAACCTAGAAAATTAAACACGATCAACAAGATGATACAATACTAATTAAAAGTTGTAATTATAGAGGTTAATTGAACCTGAATTAAAAGCTTACCTCCTGATTAATTGGACGTGGCAATATTTCAATGGGGCGTTGGGCGTTTGGTCTTGAATATGGTATGCATCCACATCCATCAGGGCACCAATTTGATGAACGTGTTGGAGAGGTGCTGAAATCATGACTTGTTGAATCCTTCTCAGACTTATTCTCCAACTTCTTTCTTTGTGGAATTACAGCACCCAATGTCTTCAATTTTTGACATTCTTCCACGCGCATATCTTTTGTGGATGACCATTGAAATGTAGATCCCGCTGGACAAAGACTTGTGAGACGAGGCAGGCCTATTAGATCAAATCTGTTCAGTTTCGGAAACAAAATCATGTCTTTTGTCGCCTCTTCTTCATTTTCCTCTGTGATTCTGACTATAGTTTCCATGTCCCGACATCCACCTATCTTTACCTCTTCAAGATTCAAAAGTTCCGAGGCAATTAAATGCGAGAACACATATTCTAGACCATAACAACGTCTCAATTCCAAATATCTCAAATTTTGGAAGCCCTGGAATCCAGACGGAATGTTTTTCCACAAGTGTGTAAACGAACATTCGGATATCTTCAACTTACGTAATTGGGGACATGTTGGAGATGTCTGCCCATCCATAACTATATGGATTTTCAGATCAAATAGCACGCCTTCAAACTCCATATCACTCAATTCTACCTCTTCTAAACTTGGAAACCATGAAATGCACTTTGATGGAAATATTGCTTTTTCAAATATTCCTGCAGATTGATGCTCAATCCTTGGCGTTGTTTCCTGAAAAAGAAAAATCATTATCGGTTAAACAATTTCAAATTTCCACATATCGGCTGCCTCCTCATATCATAGAGATTGGAGAGTGGGACATACCTCTTGGTTGGAGTATAGCTTGTTGGCTTGGAAGAAACCAACCAAACTCGGTAGATGACAGAGACTCAATTTGGTTAATTTATTGAAAGATATTATATCGGCTTCATTCTCATGTTCCCTCCCCTGCTTCGACACAATTTCTTCCATTTGATCACAGTCACCAATATCTAATTCCTCGAGTTGTACCAAGTTTCTCGCTGATAGTGAAAAGGCATATTTTAAGACATCACAATTGAACAATCGAAGGAATCTTAGGTTGGTCAAAAAGCTATTCGGAAGTTGACTAGCTGATTGTATGTGAGGAAATGGTGTCTGCTGGGTCACACTTGTTCCATTTGCAAGATACTCAGTATTTGGACAACGCTCAAGAGTCAAATATTTCAAATCTTGAAATCCCTCTTGGTCTAAATCAGTGAGGACAGAGAAATTCTTAACTTTGCACAAAAACAAATCTTCAGATTTTTTCAACAAGAGCCTAACTGCTTGACTCTCCAACTCCCTTGCATCACCTTCATCAATAATTAGTGAGTTTCTGAATGCATAAGTTGTCATCTCCGAAAACATCTTCGAAAACATCTCGGTACTTCCAATAGCGAATTTTATTGTTGGGCTTTTCAAGACTATGTCTTTTGGCAACAAGTGGATGACATTGGGGGGCATCTGTACGGTTAGAACCTTCAAATGATGAGACAGAGACATCACCTCAGAAATGCTTGCCATCCTCTTATCTTCTCTTCCTGTTCCAAGGTCCCATTTATCAAAGCTACCCATCATATACAACTCTTCAAGTCTACTTAAGCCGGAGAAGATACCATGTGGAATCACCTTAAGATTCATGCAGTTTGTCGTATCTAACAACCTCAACTGTTTAAGTCGTCCAATTTCCCTCGGCAACTCACACATGTAAAAACAATCCCGAAAGCTGAGGATTTCTAAATTCTCCAAACTCCCAATAACATCAGTAGACATGCCATCTAAGTTAGACCCATCTAGGATCAAGGTCCGCAAGTTCTTCAGTACTCCTGGTGATCTTGATGAGCCTAGGTCTTTCATTGCCATTCCCACCAAAGCTAAAACCTTCAGTTCTTTCATCGCATCACAAATGATGTCCATGCTACCTTTTGAAAAACGTCCATTCATCGTCTGTAGAAGCTCAAGTTTTGGGCAACCAACTGGAATCTCCAGATCGCCAACCAGTGAGATTGTGTCATATGTAGCTAAATTTGGCCACTCTTTATTTTCAGCATGACTTCTTACCAGAAATCGATGTGGATCTCTAGAAGCAATCGATATGGCAACATCGCGAACTATGTCATGCATTTTTGTAGTCTCACTCCTGCCACCATCTAGTAACAAAAACCTTCTTTTTAGTTGGTCAACCAAAGAATGCACTCTATTTCTTGCATCTTCCAAAGTAACGATGCTGCTAAAATATCCTCGACCCCACCCATATCGAACCAAATACTCAATTTGAATATTATAATCTTCTGGAAATAAACAACAAAGTAAAAGGCATGACCTTGCTTCATCACTCTCCAAGCCATCAAAACTCAATTTTATGCTAGAATAAACTTTGCTGTCCACTCCAGGGATGTTCACTGGGTTAGAATTTCGCAGCTGATTAAGGGCATCTTCCCATGCATGCTTCTTTTTGTTTTCTAGGGCTTTTCCAACAGTAACAATAGCAATAGGTAAACCTCCACATTCCTTCACAACATCTTTTGGAGTGGAATGTAAATCAGGATCATCGAAGGATTCACCTACCATTTCTCTAAAGAGCTCCTGTGATTCTTCTGTTGTTAAAGTCCGGACTTCAATAATTTGTTGACTTCTCATCTCGTTGCAGACTTCCAAATTCCGTGATGTCAACAAAATTTTGCACCCTTTATTAGTATCTTCGTAAGGAAGTCCTATAGCCTTAAAATCAAGCTCTGTCCATACATCATCTAATACAATCAGGATCCTTTTTATTTCCGTGAGTCTCCCATATAGCTTTAGTGCTCTTACAGACTCGGGATCCTCATCAAGTTTCAAACCTATTTGGCCTGCAATTTCCGACTGGATCGTCTTAACACTTGGACTTTGAGACACAGTTGCCATTACGATTTCGTCAAACAGGTTCAGTTCTGCCAATCTTGTGATGATTTCTTTCACCATTGTGGTTTTACCCACACCTCCCATTCCACAGATCCCGATCAGTCTTACTTCTTCCCTCTTCAAACCCTCTATCACCTCATTGATCTTTGCCATTCTGGACTTAAAATCTTTAAAACCTTCTTTGAATGTTGACCATATCTTTCGTGGAGGTGCAGGATGGGCCATATTTTCAAACGTTCCTTTGTTTTGGAGCTGAAGAACATGCTGTGTAATCTTATAGGCTTTCCGACTCAAGCTCCATCGATGCACACATCGCCTTTTCTTATTAATTTCATCCTCAAAATGCGACACTTTTTGGATCATGTCGTTCACATTCTTTAGCCAACTCTGAACATCGGGTTTGATATTTTCACCGTTCCTTTGGGCAGCATCTACCCATCCTTGCACTCCATCTTTCTTGTCAAAAAGCTTTTTTATCTCACCCCTAAGACTTTCAAGGTTGGAATGGTAATGAATCAAATAGCCAAACTCTGTTCCTATTGGTGTGACCAAGCATTCTCCAATTTTTGAGGCAATTGCAATTATAATTTCCATTGCCTTCTGAAATTAAAGACTACGGCTATAATGCTCCTCTTTGCTTGTGGCTTTTGTATGTCTCCTGCTCAGTGCTCGCCTAAAACAAAACGAGCAACACAACATTAGTAATCAGATATTTTTGTCATGTTTAAATCTAGGTAGTATTTTTATTTTATGCAAAAAAAATTGTGTGCTGATGCTTTGATAGCATTCGAATATAACATCACCATTATGTTTAAAGGGTTAATGTCAGTTTACTATCTTGAAATTTTTCAATTTTTAACATTTCATACATCAAGTTTTTTTGTTCCATTCTGGCATCTAAAGTCATAATTCTAGGATTCTTTCATAAGTTTTCCATTACAATTTATTTTAACTGATGACGTGACATCCATATGAACAATGACTGGACATCACTTGTCAATATGGGCCCACGTGAATATTAAAAAATATAGAAATAAAAAAAATACTAATAAAAAATTTTATGATAAAAAAAACCCAAACCCTGTTGTCTTCCTCACAGTCGCCTTTCTCACCATATGTTATGAAAAAAATAACACATGCATTTGTATGGTCCCCAAACTCACTGTCACATAATATTTTATTTGTTCATTTCTGCTAGCTACCCCAATCCATTTTTTTTTTTTTTCTGTTTAGAAAACAATAAAAATTTGATTATAAGGGTGGATTAGCTCACTTTTAGTTGATTATATTTTAATAGGTGACGGTTTCCTTAGGTTTGTTAGTGTTGGAGCTCAGCTGAAATAAAGTATTTAGTGAGCAGTAGAATGTAAAACCAACACTTTTATTCTTGGTCAGGCAGAGTAAAAATAAACGTCTAAAACAACAAATATTGGAAAGAAATAGTTTTCGAAATATGTAGTACCTGTATTGTAAGTCAACACAATACAACTGTCCAGAGTAAAAGTGAAATTATGATATTTATGCTTTGTTCAGCAATAAATCATATGTCTGGAACTCGTAGTGGTGCTTCACGAACTTGGACAGATCCCAACCGAAGTCAAGGTGTATTAGACGACACCTAGAAGGTGACAAAAGCCATAAAGTATAGATGATGAGCAAATATTTGAATACATAAAACCGAAGCTTATAAGTAATTTAAACTAGTAGTGAGAGTGCGCTATGCAAAATGTACCCGTACTACATAAATGTAAATTCAGAGCATATATAAAAATACAGTAACATAAAGATTATTCACATTCTAGGTAGGAAAGATAATTTGACAAACAACAGGATTAAGAATTACTACATTGACTAGGTAGAAATTCAAATACTTGATGCTTTATAAGTTATTAGCACTTTGTAAAAAATAAAAGTTATTAGTTACGATCACATTAAGTATGACATTCCCTAGTTTAAGTTAGATATGTGATGTCACCTTTCCTGAAATATATGATCGGGCCTTTTACTTGTTGCGATTTCAAAGGAAATTCATTTCATATCCTTTTCTTTCTATTTAGACCACTCTCACAAATTTTTCCGTGTTTAAGGAATGATATGCAATTATGTGTTTAGTTGTTTTAAAACTGCGTTTTTTCATTTACTTTTTACGAGGTTCCGGTCGCGGGTCACCGGATTACGCAGTTTCACGCCGGTTTTTTTGGGAAATTTTTAAATCATCATAACTTCCACATATCTCAACCAAATTGAATGATTCGGAATGGAAATGATACCTCGGAATGAGACGAACAGATTGGTACCCTTAGCAATGGCTAACTCGCCATGATTTAGCCAAAAACAGGCCGGAAGGTCCCTGAAATCGACAGAAACTGGGGAGAATTTCAAAAGGTCATAACCTGCTCATTTCTCAACCATTTTTTACGTTCTTTATATGGAAATGAAGCACAAGGAACAAGTTTATACCTCTTGGAACTCCAAAAAGCAGACGTAAATGTACTGAAATTGGCCTGAAAGTCTCGGCCAAAAACCCAAAGCTTCGAAACCGTGTGTTTTCGAGTTGGGGATTGCCTCAAACTTGACCCAGGGACGTTAGGGAGTTGTGTGGTGTCTTTCAACTCTTCCAAAACGGTGTTGAGTGGTCAGAAAAGTGTCGGGAACTTCGTCGGGAAGTTTCTTTCTCGTCGGAGCTTCGAGCTAGAGCCTCTAGTCTCGGTTTCCTGCGAAACGGAGCTCGGGTTCGAGCTCGCGAGGTCAAGAGGGTGGATGTAGGCGCGGTTTGAGCGTTGATTCGTCGAGGTTTGGTGACTTTCTCTGCGTTACAGAGAAAAGAGAGGACGGGAGAGTTTTGAGAGGGAGAAAGAGAGGGTTGAGTGCGTGGGAGAGATGCTACAGATTGGGAGGAGAACACTGCGAGAGAGAAAAAGCAGAGTGCAATTGATTGGTGGGGTGACTTTCCTTAAAGAAAAAGCCTGACCTAACGGAAGAAAAATCTCACAACGGGACAAATTTTGAAAGGCCAATCGATAATTTCTACAGTGTCTGCCGACACTTTTTTACGTAATTTCTTCTACAGTATCTGCCGACACTTTTTTACGTGCACACACGTGTGAATTTACACAAGTGTAAAAATTTACCGCTTGTTATTGAACTTTAAAATTTTAAATTGTTCCAAGTCTGATTTGGATCTAGTTTACATTCAAATATAGTACGTAATGAGATGAATTAAGCATTGGCTCAAATGTCCATGTAAAATTCCATTAAACCCAACAAGACCAGTTTTGTCATTTTGTATAGAAAAACACAAGGCGAAAGAGAAATGGATGCATGCATTGTTTACAAACGCCAAATTTTCAAATGACAATACATGGCTCGAGCCATCCTCACTCTCTCGTGGCATTACAATTTACATTATTTCACGGTAGAAATGCCGTAATTAGAGTTGTGCATTCTCTTTATTATTGCGTAAAAATATCTCTAAAAAATTTATTCTTTTGTTTTCAGTCAAACAACTAATTTCATTAAAGATAAAACACACTAAAGTATCGTTTTCTAAAACCACACTAAAATAAAAGTGTAGTCCTTTACAAAAGTAAAATAAGGAAACAAGCCCCAAAAGCATTGTTCTACAAAAAGCCCTAGGCGGCCGCCTAGGTGCTAGGCACCTTGGAACTGAGGCGATTTTGTGCAAAACGGCTGGAAAAATCGGGATGGCTTTAGGCGGGTAAGGCGGTGCTAGGCGGCTGGGTGGTTTTTTTTTTTTTTTTTTGAAATTTGTTTAAAGTCTAATTTCTAATTATACCTTGAAATTTTGTTAATTTTATAGAAAAGGTGTGTTGTGTATCAACTTAAATTCTAGGATGCTAAAGATAAGTATCTTACATTACTAAATTTCCTTATTTTCCTCCTATTTTCCATTTTATGTTGTTTTAAATTGTGAACTTGTTGTACATGTGTCATCCTACAATACTCTTCACTATGGTTATATGGCATATATGCTTAATGCGTTTTTAAATTTTGAACTTGTTGGATACTCTTTTTGCATTTTATCATTCTTTTATTATCTTATCCATGAATTTCACACAAGTATAATTTTTTTATAAGTGTCAATATGCACTTATTTACAAGATACATAAGAAATTTACCTAAATCTGCCTAGGCCGCCTAGGCACCCGCCTAGGAGCTAGGCGCTAGCCCGCCGCCTAGGAGCTAGGCGCTAGCCTGCCGCCCGACTAGCGCCTAGAATTTTTTAGAACCTTGCCCAAAAGTGAGGTAAAATTTATTCATTTTGAGGTCGTTTAGTCATACAAATTGAATGAATATTTTTAAAATAGTAATGCTATTAACACACTTTTTTTTTTACTTTTAACACATCTTTGCTAATTTTTGTCCTTTAAAATAACGTTTTTTAGCCAGATTAAAACTGCATAAGTAAACTCAATACATCAAATTAACAATGCAACTTGTGACATCCCACATCGCCCAGGGGAGTGATCTTTAAATGTATATTCCCATCTCTACCTAGCACGAGGCCTTTTGGGAGCTCACTGGCTTCAGGTTCCGTAGGAACTCCGAAGTTAAGCGAGAAGAGGGCTTGAGCAATCCCATGATGGGTGACCCACTGGGAAGTTGCTCGTGAGTTCCCAAAAACAAAACCGTGAGGGTGTGGTCGGGGCCCAAAACGGACAATATCGTGCTATGGTGGTGGAGCGGGCTCGGGAAGTGATCCGCCCCGGGCCGGGATGTGACAATCCCGGGCCATAACACGATATTGTTCGCTTTAGGCCCTGACCACACCCTCACGGTTTTGTTTTTGGGAACTCACGAGCAACTTCCCAGTGGGTCACCCATCATGGGATTGCTCAAGCCCCCTTCTCGCTTAACTTCGGAGTTCCTACGGAACCCGAAGCCAGTGAGCTCCCAAAAGGCCTTGTGCTAGGTAGAGATGGGAATATACATTTAAAGATCACTCCCCTGGGCGATGTGGGATGTCACAATCCACCCCTCTTAGGGGCTCGACGTCCTCGTCGGCACACACGCGACCAGGATTAGGCTCTGATACCAAATCTAACACGCCCCGACCCCGATATTCCCCAAATACCAGGATAGGCACGTGCTGGCCGACACCCGAGGGTGACAAAAGCCATTTATTGAGTGTAAATACTGAAAACAAAGGATAAATAAGGTTTATAAATATAAAAGAACAATGAATATGCAAATAAGGACCGTGTTCAGAGCACACCACTAATCTAGAACACTAAAAGAAAATAATATAAAATTGAATGAAACCAAGGAGTGGGTCCTACACCAAGAGGACTCGAAGATGCCGATGCGGAAGTGCCTGGACGTCGGGATTGTATGCCTCGATTCTAAGTCCTGAAGGGGGTGCAAAACAAACATGAGTGGACCAAGTTGATATATATATATATACTAAAACAGTTATCAACATACTAACCCCCAGGTTTTATGAAAACACATATATAATTATAAACATAGGTTTTCCGAAACCTAGCATGCTGTGCAATGCCTTAAATCATAATTCGCATAAAATAATAAACACTAGTGAATGTCCGATATAACTCTTCAGGCCCCATGCCGGCTCCCCGTCTCTAAGCAGATAGTCAGAGGAAAATACACTTCAGGCCCCATGCCGGCTCCCCGTCTCTGAGCAGACAGTCAGAGGAAAACACACTCCAGGCCCTATGCCAACACCAAACCGTCGCCCAGGACGGACCGGATCTATCCCTACGTCCCGTAGCGCAAAGGACCACTAGGTAAGTACAAAACCAGTGAACATACATATATTGAAAATCAACTTCATAGTATAAAGTCATCCATCATCTATACTATAAAGAGGTGTTCTAAACATGTTCTAAATATCATATCGTCATCCATCAGATATTCTATAAGAACATGGGTTATAGGAAAAAATAGTAATAATTCAAATTAGCCTCAGTAAGCATGTTATCTTGTAAAACGTTTCATAAAACATAATCATCAAATCATGCTTTTCATGTATGCATTTCTACTATTAAAACATGCATTTTTAGAAGGGGTCCACTCACAGTACTTCGTCGTCGAAAAGTCACGCCATCTAGCGAAGAAGGAAATGCCACAGGTAATCGCCCCTAAGCACATAATCATCAACGTCATTTCCTGTTATAATCATGTCATCTACATAGATGATTAAAGCTATCACTTTATCTTGCCTCTGTTTCACAAACAAAGTGCGATCAGAATGACTCTGATGATACCTATTCTTCTTCATAACTTGGGTAAATCTATCGAACCAAGCACGAGGCGATTGCTTAAGTCCATAGAGTGACTAACGCAACTGACATACTTCGGTATTCCTACCAGCATTATACACGAAAGGAAAGTCCATATATACTTTTTCCTCCAAATTTCTATAGAGAAAAGCATTTTTCACATCAAACTGTTTAAAGGCCAGTCCATAGTTGCAGCTAAAGAAATCAAAACACGTACCGTATTCATCTTGGTAACTGGTGATAAATTTTCTTGGTAATCTACACCATATGTATGGGTGTACCCTTTGGCTACCAATCTTGCTTTGTATTTGTCTATTTATCCGTCAGCTTTGTATTTAATTCTAAACACCCATCGACATCCAACTGTCATTTTGCCACTAGGTAGAACCGTTACCTCCCAGGTATTATTTTTCTATAATGCCACAATTTCTTCATCCATAGCTTTTGCCCACTTTGGATCCTTCAGAGCTTCCTTCACTCGGGTTGGTACTTGAACATACTTCATATTGTCCACCAAAGCTTGACGATTCGGTGCAAGACCATTGCATGAGACATAATGGGCAATTGGATACTTCACGTTCCCTTCCGGAGAAAACCTATCAGGAGGCACACCTCGATTTTGTCTCGGTGGCAATTTATATGTACTTACATTATTACTTTGAGTAGTTACATAATCATCTACTATACTTACCTTAGGTATATTCAAAGAATATGTATTGGACGACACTGTGGAGTTAGAGAGAGAGGGAAATAAATCAATAGGCTCAGCAAGTGTATCCCGTGGTTGAGTATTGGGTTCAGCAGAAGTCTCTGGCTGATCAGAGGCTGTTTCGGTAGAAGCAAGCTAAAACACATTTTGTTGTTCTGTAGAGGCTGCTAAAAGCTCTGCTATAGGTTCAGCAGAAGGTGGTCGAAGATCAACAATCTCATCTTCAGCACCTCCAACCGATTGATCTGTGGCAGTGGGAGCATGTGTGCTTTCGGCAGCTGTTATGTCTCCCCCTAGGTCCAACCAACCCATATCAGCCCCTGGTGACCTAAAGTAGAATGCGTGAAGTATAAAAAATCTCTAATTCAAAAAAAAGTTCATATCCATGGTGACATATATACACTGAGTCTCAGGATGATAACACTTATATCCTTTTTGATAAGGTGAGAAACCCATAAGTACACACCGTAGGACACACGGATCCAATTTACTATGATGAATTCCCTGGATATGAACATAAACCACACACCCAAATACTCAAAGGGTGAAAGTATTAGTAAACACCACTAGAGCATGTTGGGTAAAAACTTGAAGATGAGTTTGAAATCCGACAACTCAAGACGGCATACAATTAATCACATATACGGCATAAGTAATAGCCTCAGGCCAAAAACTCTTGGGAACCGATGCTCCAAGAAGGAGAGCACGTGCAGTTTCTCAGATGTGGCGATTTTTCCTCTCAGCATCCCCATTTTGTTGGGGTGTATGAGGACATACTATTTCATGGAGAATACCACGTTCATGGAGAAACTCTGACAACTCAAGATTAAAAAAAAAATGTTAAGTCATCATATGATTGCGGGAGTCCAAATTCGTCAGTGACTAATCACCCATAGGTGTGATTAGCCACTTTATCATAATTGTAGAAAAGTGTTAAGCCTCTGCATGATGATATGGGTCTGAACTTATTAGTGGCTAATCACACATCGATGACTAATCTAACAAAATTTATTATTTGACAAAAAAAAAAAAAAACTCTCG